GTTGGACTCGATGATCTTAGAGGTCCTTTCCAACCTCAATGATTCTATGATTCTATGATTCTATTACTGCGTCCCAACCGTGATACATGGCTCACCCAGAGAGAAAAGTAGCTGGTATCTCAAGTCACTGAGGGAATGCCCCTTCTCTTCTGCTGGCAATGTCAAGGAAAAGATACGCAGTGCCTGCTGTACTGGACCTGGGACCCACTGCCCACCTTTCCCCAGGAATTACTCGGTCTGAGCACGTGAGGATTTCTGCCCTGCCCGACCAGATCGGCCAACAGCCAGAAGTCAGTTCCCTCTGCGCCGGTGCAGAGTCCTGCAAGGGCAGAGGGAGTTGTTTCTGGAAGTAGGCTGTCTTGTTTTTAATTTTGCAGGACCTTGATTGCAGCCCTGCAGTCTAATTCTGTGTTTGTACATGGAGCTGGGTTAGCGTCAGTAGTCGCTGCAAGGATCTGATCGCAGGCCTGTTTTTTAAGTAGCGTGTGATGGGATCTCTTCCCGTTTCCCTTTGTGCTTGTACAGCCCCTAGCACCGGGTCAAACAGGACTTAACAGGGTTACCAACACTCCTCCTAGTCTGATTACAGCTACAGAAACTGCTCTGATGTATACTGCATGTCATATTGCATGTACAAAATGAAGCTTTAAATTGTACCCATGAGATGGCTTGGATGAAGGATACTAACATAAGAAGAGCAGTGGCTTTTTGTTTTCTTTTCCCTTTCTGAAGCAGTGAATGCCTGTGAATTTAAGGAACAAAACTGCAAGAAAGTGAATTACTGCAAACTCTTCATTTTAAAGAGATGATTGGAAGTTGATTGTTTGTTAATCCTGCACCTTTCTTTCCTGCAGCTTGTCACGAGTCCTGTTCCTCATGCTGGGGTGCTGCTGAGAACAATTGTTTGTCCTGCAAAGACACATCACGCGTGCTAAAAGCAGGGCTCTGCGTGGCCAGCTGTGGACAGGGATTTTATACAAAGGATGGAATCTGCAGCGGTAAATACCTGTTTTCTTCTCCAATTGCAAGAAGTTTGAGAAATGCTCTGTAAAAAAGGAATCAATATTTCATTTAGCCGTGCAGCAGCTGTTATTTTATTCATGTCTAAGAAGCCAGGTGCACCTTGTGCACACATACCGGATGAGGAAAGCTGCTGTTTGTTTGTAAGATTATTAATTCATTTAAGCTAATCAGATGCTGAAAGGTTCAAGGTTTTTCCCCTCACTGAATAGCTTGAAAGCCTAACTGAGTTGTTTCTGAGGGCTTGACAAATCCATTTGTCTGCAGAAAGAAAAATGGCCTTTGCCAGCAGGTTTCTGTAAATTGATTATAATTCAGCATCACAGTAACTAATACCTGCACAACAGATGAGACTTGGGAGCTGGGAAGGTTTGCTGAGAAAAGGGGAAGAGATGGCTGGAGGGAGTTAAAAGACCTAAGTCAGACAGATCATGAAGAGGGAAAAAAATCTCAAATAAATAGAATCTAAAATTTGCCACAACCGTTCAGGTCAAGTCTGGGTTTCTGCTGGCAGCCACCTCCATCCAGGTGCTTTGAAGGACTGTCCAGCATAGTCAGTAGAAATGACGCAGGGGTTGTCTGTCTTCAGGCAGGTCTGTCTGAGCCACGGCTAGCTAGAGAGGCCTTAAAACCTGGAGCACGTTGACAAAATTGTTGCTATTGTGGCCACTTCTGGATGAATTTCACTTTGACCAGGTTCCCCTTCAGTTTGGTTGACGTCTATACCAGTAAATTTTACTCACCTGTGTTTTGAAGTGTGCAGGCTTGAAATCTTACATCTGTAGCTGAAAATCATTTAAGCTCAAAAGGAAATTTAACTTGGATGCAGCTCGGCCGTAATTTTGATTTTTATTGCCAGTGATTTCTCAAAACTGCATAGCTGTTCCTCGCAACCTCCAGGATTCAGGCCTTTCATCTTCTACCAAAACCATGCATTTTGATACCGAACTGGAGAGCTGAAGCTGTTTTAAAGGGAGGCTGTCTGACTGGTGGAAAGAAACAAAGATTGGTTAAGTAAAATGCTTGGCCCTTCTGAATATACAGCAGCAGTAGTGCTAGGGAAGTACAGTAGTAGTGACTTAGGGAAGCCAGAGTTTCATAGTGCTCTTAGACAACAGGTCCGTTAACTTCAGAACTGACTGCCTGGGAGAATATAGACCACAGGAATTGATAAGAAACATTATCATGCTTGATTTTAGATGCATTTTCACACTTAAAACTTTGACTTGAAGAAAAGGGGGAGGGGGGAAATTACAATTTTTTTGATCAACTTTTCCTCCATCTTTTACTTCCTGAACAGTCTGGTAACTGATGCTTGTTGTACAAAGATACGTAAAGATTTATGAGACGGTTTTCATACATCAAATTGTTCAGAATGGTGCTCTCTGTTCACAGACTGTTGGTGAACAGGAAAAACATACTACATCAGCTAGAGGGGGTTGTGTCGGGGTGGAGGGGGTGCTGGTGTAGACCCATTTCTGGTATTTGTACTTACTCAGAGTCCTAGACGGGATACAGGTCAGTGAATACCTTGTCTGCACTCACACGTCTACCTCCATGACTGTCACTGCTTATTCCAGGGAAGTGCGAAAGGTTACTTGGGCTGGAGAGGAATGTTTAAAGCTGCCTTTCTGACAAAGAAAGGACAAGGCATGGTTTGGCTTACTTTATTTTATCCATGTGGCCAGGTCGATGGCTCTGTTATTCTTTGCTTACTGAGTGCATTTCATTAATGAGCTGTCCTCTTTGGCAGCTTGTGACCAGTTCTGTGAAACATGCTATTCAGACCAACCCAGATGTTTGACCTGTGCTTCAGATAAGTTGTTACATGATGGGAAGTGCATTTCAGAGTGCCCGGACGGATATTTCCCAAGTAGCAATGGAAGATGCAGAGGTAAGAGGCGTATTTGCATGACCTTTTCTAAGGCTCTCAAGGCACCCTCCGCACGTTGTCTTCTTTTCCCCAGATGTTTACCTGTGGGGAGGGAATGTTAAGAGCACAGAAGTGCGAGTGGGGACAGGGAATTTGATTTTTTTGTTTTCTTCGGTTCACTTGTGATAGATTGTTTTAAATAACCTCTTTGCCTTGCGAAGCAGATTAATACACGCTGAGATACATATTCAAAACGCTGTGTGAGTGAGTTGTTACTGTTAGTAGTTATTAATACATGTGCACTTCTGCTCTCATTATTTCACATAGCTGAATATCATGCCAGCTGGGAGTTTTTCATTGTTGGCTGGAGGAGGCTGTAGTCAGCAACACCACTCTCAAGGAGAAAAAACGGGGTATTTCAGTTCTGTGTGCTCTGTTTCTTTATCAGCTTGTCATGATTCATGCTCCACATGTGAGGGACCTCTGGCCACTCACTGCACCTCCTGTTCCTTTCCTCTGGCGTTGCACCGGGGCCAGTGCCTGCTGGGCTGTGGAGAGGGTTTTTACCAGGATCATGACATCTGCAAGGGTAAGCTATGTACTTGGAGTAAGTTCCCCAGCTGCTGTAAACCAGTGTGTCTATATTGGCTTTTGTCGGGCTGTGCTCAGGAGTACCCACCTACGATACTGATCGTTTATCCTGTGCTGAACTGGTCAATGAGTAACTCCTGTGTTTGCCTGCTGATTTTTTTCTACTTTGAGAAAAAGCAAATTTTCTCAAATACTTTCTGCGTTCACACCCGCAGGATTTAGTGATCTTCGGGACTTTTTTTTTTTCTCTATGCTGTTGAAATAAACATACGTTGCTTCCAAGTTTTTCTTGACACTTAAGAGGTGGATGAAATTCTACACGCACCTAGTAGATTTGCTAAGACTGAGATCATTTTTGCAGCAATGGAAAACCTGAAAATTCAGAAGATGTATTTATGCTTCTTATGAGCCCTTCAGACTGTCACTTCTTGCTATCTCTCCTAGTGAGATTGTGTTCACCATTGCGGTTCCAGAAATTAAAGGAAAATTGACTGCCTGTGGCACAGTACTGCAGTTTTTTCCCAAAATTATTTGTTCATCAACTTTATTCAAGAAAAGAGCCATTATTTGGGAGTGGGGGGAAAGATGTCAAAGTATTTTTCTAAAATCCCTGTCCCATTATAGAAAATACAGCACCCCATCTGTTTATGGAACAGATTTCTTAGCTTGTGAGTTACTACAAAGTAACAGATTTCTTAGCTTGTGAGTTACTACAAGTCTCTGTCTGGTTACTACAAGTGTATGCTCTTTGCTAGCTCTTTGAGTATCAGACTGTCTACAGCAATACAAAACTGGAAAGAGGGATGAACAAGAGGACCCAAACCGGTTGTTTTCTCCCCTTTCTATCTCACGTTCACAACCAGATGCCCAGGTTTGCACGGTTGTTGGGCCTTGTCCATCTCTCTGAGAAAGCTGTCCTCAGAGCTGTGGCTCTGACTGCTCTCTTGACCTGTGCACAGGTTGCCACCCATCCTGCCGCACCTGCGTTGGCCCGGGGGCCTCTCATTGCCTGCAGTGCAGGGCGCCAGAGGACGTACTGCAGCCTCACCAGCCCGTGGAAGGAGCTGTACATGGCCTTTGCCTCTCTCGCTGCCAAGCCCGGTTCTACGTGGATAGCACAGGAGTCTGCAAACGTGAGTAGAGGATGGGAACAGCTGTTCAAAGCCTTCAGCACAGGGCTGCACTGGATTTTCGGTGTTCAGGGTGATCTTGTACGATGTTTGATTCTTACATGCTTTGAGGTCCTGTGTTTGCCTTGTGACAGTCATGAATGTTTAAACTCAGTAACTTTCAGAACGGCGTATACTAGTACTTTTGAGGGAAAATAAACCCTACATATAATTTGTGGCTGAAGGATTCAGGTACTTTTTTTTTAAAATTACTGTGTTCAAGTCTGCACAGCCTAGCTTAGCTTTCTTTTCACTGAAGTTGAGTATGTGATTTTTACCACTGACTTATTTTGAAGCAGGATCAATCCTTAAATCCTTTTCAGAAAAGACTGAGCTGTCTCCTTATTAGCCCGTGGAGCAGGTCAAGACATCCCACAGCAGTCATTTCTTTTGAGGAAGCTCTTCTGATAGATGCCCTGCAGCACACGTGCCATCACTGCTCCTGAAATACCAAGTAGGAAGCATTTCCATGAAGACTAGAGTTTGGAAGAGAGGCTAACATGGTGTACATTGGGGATATATGTGGTTTCGCACCACTTTGAGAGAAAACTGTTGTGGACTTCAGCAAAGAATGTTTACTGGGTGGATCAGCAAGCCAGTCTGTCTGGCTGTACAGAGCTTGTGGCAGCTGGTGTGGATATCTGTACAACAAGCAGTTGTATCTTGAAAATAATGCGGACAGAAGCAGGGTGAGAGGTTGACTGCGAACATCTTGTGCCAACACAGCCCACCCTAAGCCTAAGCAGAAATGATACTTTCAGAAGTGGCAATGATTTCCCTGTGTGGAAAGACCGATCGTAGAGACAGTGACTCTACAGATGTCTTTACTTAAGTAAAGTAATAGTAGTAACAATAGCAACAATACTACTGATGGCCGTTTCTTCCTGCTCAAAAAACATTTTCTAGAAGTGGACATAATTCAAAATCCATTTATTTTGATTTTTATCTCTTCATCTCAACTTGATGGAAAGAGTCTGTACAGGCTCATTTTTTTGCCTTAGGGGATCTTAAAAAGGAAGTGGCTTTTTTTTTTTTTGATGGAATGATTCTGTCTTTAACAGTGACCTACACAGACCATAAAGCGTCCAGTGCTTTGGACTGGTTCCTGAAGGCATTAGTGTAGAGCCTCCAATCCACACAGTGGCCGTTCCTTGGCAAGTAATGGGTTTTCTTGGCTGAGTCCAGGTTATGGTGTAGAAACTGAGTGAAGAAATCCGTATACCACTGCCTCAAATGGGTGAACAGACCTGTACAAACAGGCCTGAGCAGAGTTCGGTGGCAGCGCTGAATTATGTCATTGGGCAAGAATGCCGGCACAGCCCTTCATGTTGTTAGCTCTGCCGTATTAGTAATGGCATTAGAATTGTAGTTTGATTTATTGCAGAAGGGTGTGAAGATTCAAGATTTCAAACTTTGAGCTACCCCCGTAAAATACTCACGCAAAGTTTGTAGATGCACCTTTTTGAAAAAGTAAACCCACAACAGATGTGTACCATGCCTACATTATCTGTGCAGAACAGAAGCACGTTCATAGGTAGGTTAAAATGCTGGTTCTGAAGGTTTTACCTGTTCGGTTGTGAATTTCTCACCAAACCACAGAAATATCTCTATCTATATTTTTCTAATGCTTGAGATTTCCCTGATAAAACTGTAAGAAATTTCTCTCTGATACGGTTTGAGTCACTTGAGCCAAAGATAGTCCTGGAGACATTGCATTTGTGATGAGGATCCCTGACTTCTCTCTCTGGCTCCCTGGCAGACAGTGAAGTGTATTTGTATAAATCATCGTACTTCATTTCATTTCTTCTCTCCAGCCCTGTGTCTGTCTTGTCTCCCTAGAGGGCAGGAAGTCTCTCTTTGTGTTCAACGGAGACTGACACAGTGGAACCTGTGGCCTCGAGCCACTGCTCTAAGAAATACTAGGTTTTTAACTAATGAGTTTATATATTTATTTAATTGGATTACTTAGTTTAAGATGGCTTGTTTTAGGGTCAGTACCAGTAAAGATGAAGAAGTCTAACTTTTTAACTGCACTCTTTTAATTCTTGCTGAATCGTCCTTGTAATGAGCGTTCACTTCACTAGCTGTAAAGTCAGGTGGCCAGCCCACCTCTATGTATATTTGCTCTTACTGCTCCAAAATGGCTGATCATAACCATGCAGTGATGGTGGATGGAAAATCCTTCCTGGAGTAACTGTAGAGTGATAGTGAAAGATGATTTCAGAATCTGGTAAGTTAGCAGAACCCCAGAGCTCTTATAGGGAGGAGAACAGTATTACACGGCATTGTGCAGCTGAGCTTTCCGTTTCAGTAATGAATTGTGTGGGTGCAAAGAAAGATTAAATATGCAGCTATCTGTGGTTGTTCCTTATCTTCAAGAAATGTGCTATACAGCCTCTGTACTCCTGCTCTTTCTACCTTTCACAAGCAGAGAATCCTGTAAATGAAATACCTCCCTGTTGTCACTGGGGAGAAAGCAATCCAGCCGTACTCTAGGACAGTAACAACCAAGATAAGCTAGAACTAATTTGGCTCTCTCTGTCTTCTTGTTTTTCCCTTCCCTGCAGAGTGCCACTCCTCCTGTGCAGGCTGTGTGGGGAACACTTCCCAGGACTGCATGGCTTGTCTGTCTTCCCACGTCCTGCTTGAAGGCAGATGCCTCTCTGAGTGCCCAGAGGGGCTGTTCAGCCACGAAGATCACTGCTACTGTGAGTGCGTAGTGCAGGCACCTGCAGCTTATACTGCTGAATTTCATGGCATGCATGTTTTGTAAAGCATTTCTCAATGTGGTTACAGATGCTGTCAGACTTACATGAGGCTATTTAAGTATTTTCAGGGGAGAACAGGATAGTCTGATTTCAGGAAATGGAATCTCTTCCTAATGGGAGAGAGGCATACACATTGAATCATAAATTACAATCAGTTTTGCTCCTCTGGACTGTTTCCCTGAAGATACTTTGCGTGTCATTTCAGTAGGCTTGGGTGATGTTCTTAGCCAGCGCGCTGTGGCAGAAGAGGTCTTTATTGGACAACACTGAAGCAGGGGCTGCTTTTGTTAGGCTAGAAAAGCATATTGTCCATATGAATTAGCTTTATTTTTAATCCACTGCTGGCTATAGGGCTGGGTTTAGAAGGAAGGAATTCTGCGGATACAGGAGAAAAGCCATTACATCTATGAATATGCCTGATCAGTAGTGGGGACAACATTATTTATTTGTGTGTCAGCTTTGCCCACCAGTCAGCAAGTGGCTTTCATTCAGCTTGTTTGATCTCATCTAAGCAGATGACTGTGACTACTGACCTTCTGAGTGACTGCAACGATTAAATCCTGTTTGCCACTTGCAGAAAATGGTGGCCTTTGGGGTATGCCGTTCATTATGAGCTGCTAAGTACGATGGGTGAGGAAATGCAGGCCTTGAAACCGGATTAGTCCCTTCAAGGTCATCTGAAAGTTGTGTGTTGTTTTATAACAGATTCATTGGGTCAGGCATCCATGTATCTGTTCTGGCAGTAGGAGAAATTTACTGGTCGCTTCCCTGGGAGGCCTCAAGTTTAGAGAGAGAAACCTCTTCTAAAGTCCATTGCTCTATATATTCAATTTATTCATCCAAGGAACAACTCTATAAATACATTTATTTGGCAAGCCATTGTAAAGATTCATCAATTTTGAGGTTGTGTACTGCCACCTCAGAGCTGAGGTAACTGCTAAATGCTGCATTATGCAGTTTCAGGCTTATGTAAATGTCTTAGAAACAAAATTTCACTGTCAGGAAAGTGGCATCTTTCTGTATGCTGCCAGCTTACATCTCCTGCAGTTTTTGAACAGCGAAGCTCAGTTAATATAGCTGTGTCTAGAAAATTGATTCTTCCTTTTGAACACTGGATTCATGGGCATGATTTCTGAGAAGCTGAGAAGGTGGTGGGACATGATGCGTTAGGTCTTAAACACTGGAGCCTTATGCTGTGGCAGCTGTGAAACGCCCAGCTTCCATGTGGGGAGCGAGCAATTATATGTAGCCTGGGGGAGTCCTGGGGTGGGAGATTTTTGAAGTTGTGTGCTTTTATTCATAGAAGAGCTTTAAAAGTAGGTTTTAAGAATTTTTTACAGATCATTAGCCTTAGTATTTCTGTCTCCCTCAGATCTGTAGCATGGAAATCATGGAAATACGGCATCTGTCTTTACAGCTGGAAGGATACAAAAGCAGTCTGAGGGAAATATTTTTGAGCAATCTTAACCATATTGTCTGCAATCTTTTTGTTGAGCTTTTAGCAGACAGAATAGCTAATGAGCTGGCATGGCATTCAGGTTTTATAGGTTTCAGTTTGGGAGGGCTTTGTGCAGAAATCATTCCTGGATTTTCCACTCGTGAATATCAAACTCATGCAACTATGATGTTCATACAATCCCAAGATGTCTAATTTATCTCCCCTGTGCATCCCATTCTCTTTCTTACGTGCACAAGCATATGCTGGAGGGAGGAATAAAAGGGCCAATCTCTTTATATTTTGTGTAGATCTATACCTTGATTAATGCAGAGAACAAATCGCATTTTTAAACTGACAACTCATTTCTCATCTTGTTTATTAAAAATGAGGATGTAAGAGCCTTCCAAACCACACCTCTGCAGTTACTGATGCTATTAGATTGTGTTATGTCCATGTTTTGTAGGAGTAAATTATTATTACAGGGGCTGGCTTTCTGGGGAAGGGAGAGTGTAAGGTGGACTATACCAAGAGCATAACAACAAGTGTTGATTTTCTTCTCCAGCCTGTCATCCATCCTGCAAGACATGCCGTGGCCCTTCCGATTTGGAGTGCTTAACCTGCCATCCCCATGCGACTCTAGCTAGTGGAAAGTGCAGGACTAGCTGCAAGGAAGAGCAGTATCTGAACCTGGTGGGATATTGTGTGGGTAAGTAAGAGGAGATGGTGTGGGTCATACAGTGTGATGATCTTTCTGTGGCATTAACCAGCTACTTGAGCACACACCATGAAGAAATCAAAATGCCTGTTATGAGTAAAATGTCACACAGATGAAAATACCGTGAGGAAACTCTCCAGTGTGCATAGTATATAGCAAAGCCGCTTGCCACTCCTGCTACACGTATCTTCACTAGAGCTGTGGTGAAGTCAATTGCAAATTGTGCAAGGCAGGTAGTAGGGAGAGGGAGACAAGGCTCTCCTTTGCCAGGCTTGCTGCTGCACGGTTTGGTGTGAAGACTTGAGATCACATGTATGGACCAGTATGTCTGGGAATCATCAGAGCATTTATATACTTATTAATATCATAATGAGCATGCTCTTAACAACAGGATGGGCTGCAGCTCTGCTCTGTTGAGTGGCGATGCGCTTGCCTTTGCCAAGCCAAGCGCCTGTCTGTGTCTTGCTCCAGACTGGGCTTTATAGTATACAGCCTGTCACTGTAGAGCCAAGCCTGGGGGACCCAGAGCCAGGAAAGCTGCTTAGGCCCTCCACAGAGCTTCCGTAAGGTGAGTTAAGGAAACATTTGTGATTCAGAGAAGCAGTTTATAGGGCCCTAAAGAAAAATTGGCACAGCTAGCATTGCTGTGTGCGTTTTTGGGAGGTAACAGGATTTCTATATAAGGGTTATACTTTGTGGGTGCTCGGTGCCTGCACTTAAGCCTATCATCAGAAGCCACTGATTGCATTTATCTGTTTAAAAAGAAAAATCACTTTTAATCCATGACGCAGACATGTATAAACATATCCTGGGAACTGCTCCAACAATTTCTGAGCTCTATCAAGCCATGTTTTTCTTTATCAAAAAAAGATATGGTGTGTGAGGCTTAATCTAGGCTGAACAGTTCCAAATGTGATAAGGAATCCTAAGAAAAGGGAAAAATACATTAGATGTAATAAATATATCCATTGAGAGGCTATTGTTCTCAATTTAATACAGATTATTCCCCTTCACAGAGACTTCTTTTTGTTTACCTATGTGTGTTGGGGGTTTTTTTTATGAAAGACTTGTTTCTTTGCTCTCCACAGATTAATTTTATGAACCATTTCTTCATCTTCCTTTTCAACAACAGTTATTGTTTTGTCTGCAGAGACAAAGAGAGGGGGGAAACAAAGTATCTGAGGAGTAGGAAAATATCCTAAAAGTGTTGTACAGCTCCTTAGGTATACAAGAAATCAGGTTGGGGAATCAAGGTGTTTCATACAGTCAAGTAATTACAATATGGAAATAATTCAGCATTTCAGTGTAAAGAGCTGTCTCTGTCCTGTAAAATTTCAGGGGCTACGACGATACTTATTAATGTCCTGTCACGTCATAGCTGTATGCACTTTATTTCTTCCAATTATTTTCCCATTACTTTGCATTATGCTTCCTATGAAAAAAAGCCTGTGGAAATGTGGTCTTCCAGCTGTAAATTTCATTGGAAGAACTTAGTACCATTTATCATAAACCAGAATTCTTTCTGAGGAGGGTTTACTCTGCTGCTTGCTGCGTGCTGCGTGCTTTAATTATCCCTTTTAGACTGCTGTTACCTGTAAGTTTGGCGAGGCATCATGGAGCAGTAAGTGTGCTCCCCAAATCCCAGGTGATTAGGTAGATGTCACAGTGCCTGGCAATAGTGAGGAGCAGAAATTGGAAACAATGGGCTCACTCAGGCAATGTGGAGGGCAAGGTTTGACCTCCAGATGCGCTACGCTGACAGTGATGAATCGTCTGCTAAGAACCTTGCCTGGCTTTCTGGGCTCCAAAGCAATTGCAGTCTGGTGCTGCATCCTTTCCTTGCAAATGAACAAGCTTTACTTCGAAGCCCTGTAGGTCATAAACATGGTCCACTGTTCCCAGACTTGTCTTCTCAAAGTAGAAACATGTTTTCAAGGCTTGGTTCACAGTGCCTGGCATCATTGAGTGTCCATAGAGTTTGGATCTGTGCCCCCAAAACAGGAGAGAAGACCTTCCAGGTGCAACATAGTAAGAGCATAAGGAGATACCTTTCCTCCTCCCAGCTCTGACCTTAGTCTTGCTGTGTGACTCACTTGTGTCAGTCCTGCCTTCGGGAGGCCGGTACAGATACTCCTTGTAACATAGGAACCCGTAATGTTCACGTGGTCATGCACATAGATGCATTGATGTTTCTTCGTCTAACTTAAGTTTTGAAAATCCTTGTAGAGGAACATAGTTATTTGTTGCCTTTAAAAAAAAGTTGTGCTTTGGTCTTGGATCTGCAGTCTGAAGCGTGTTGCTCTTTGTGCCAAATTTATGTCTGATGTTTAAGCAAAGGATGTGTGTTGCCAGGTCTGCTAGAGATAAAGAGCTCCACATCCAGGTTGTTAAATTTCACTGATTCTTCTCATTCAGCACTGATTGAAATGCTAAGTTTGCCCTTGCAAGTTATTAATTACCAGTTAAAGAGCAGCTGTCCCATAAAAGAGAACATTAAAACCCTTGACACTTGCACAATATATGATTTGCATCAGAACCTAACAAAGCTTCTTCCTTTGCTTCCCAAAGTAATTTTTTTTTTACAGTTATCTTCTCATTTATCTCTAATTCCCGACCCTCCAGGCAGGACTGTGTTACGACTCATAGGGACTGCTGTGCATTATAGCCACCTGTCATACTTTATGGACCTGCAGGGGAAAGTCTTTCATACAGGATGCAGAAAACCAACTGTCACTTGAAACCATTGCCTGTGAATTAACGTTGTTGTTGTACATGCTGCCTGAATGAGGATTGGAACATTTGCCTTGTTAATAGAAAAAAAAAGTATGTTGTTTTCAGCAGTTTATCAAATAAGCATTTCAAATGTAAGCAGAAGAAAGACAAAATGGCCTCAAATTTCGAAAGATCAATGAGTTTCTAAGCTCTGATTTGGGCACGGTAAATTTGTGTCAGTCTTCCTTGAGAATGCTCAATTTATGAGTTTTATTTTATAGCTAAAGTGTATGGACAGGAATGTGGTTTTGGCTTTAGCAGTCTCCTGTTGAGTCTCAGGTCTTCTGTGTTTTTTGTTTTCCCAGTTTGAAAACACTCCCTCTTATCCAAGACAACGTCAGCTTCAGGAAACGTTGCAGTCACCAGGCTGAAAAATAGCACTGCCGCTAAAACTGTTGTCCTGCTCTTACTTTCCTGATTTTAATAAATCATATGCCTGTCTTGAGGCTTCCTCATTGATCTTTTCCTGACTTGGTGGAAGGGTAATTAGAAAAATGCAGAGGGACTGTGCAGCAGCCAAAGAAAGCAGTTCACAGACTGAGCTCTACTGGATGCTCGGCTGAGGCTTAAAAGGATGCAAAGGATTACCTACCAGAATTAGTAGCAAGGGCAGCTGGCGTGAAATGAAAATCAAAACATCCACGGATACAGTATCCCCCAAGGTCCTATCGTAACTTCCAACTGCATCTTCCTCGAAAGGGAACTCCCCATCCCCATGTTTAGCTGCTCAGGCCCTTGCTTTCTTAGGCTGTGTGCAGTTGCGAAAATGTTCAAAGATAAACCAGAAGAGCTCACTCAGGAGGATACCTGTAACAAGCCTTTCTGCCTTGCTCTTAAAATTCCAGAAGGGACACTCTGACAACAAGAAATACATTCAGCTCCTTGTGAAGTTAATGAGCTGTTGCCGTACTCTTAGAGAGTCATTGATACCATCACAACGAGCTGGAGTTTCTCTGAGCAGAGCAAGAGGGAAACTGGGGGCTTTGCTCCACTTAGTCACTGGCGTGTAACCTCCTACAGAAATTAACAGCTGAGCTGCCAGAGGAGGAAAATGGAAGATCATTCCCCTACTTTGGTCTGGGCTCATTTGTGGTAGTCACCATCCAGCTGGATTTCCCACCTTACGCTGCCTAGAGAAGCTCCCACCCTTTTCAGAAGATGCGGGCAGATCCCTGCAAACATGGTTGCGCTTCACCAGGAGTTCACCTCGCTTGTTTGTGTGACAAATTCCCTTTTAGGTCTTCTTAAAGGAGAGGAAAAAAATCCCTTTCCAACAACCAAACCAAATCAAAAATCCTTGTCAGTGCTAGGTGTCCTTCTGAATCAACCATACTGATTTTCTTTCTGGATTTACTGTAAGGTGCTAGAGGACGTTTGCATGCTGACATGCCTGTAAATTGCATGGTGTTTTAAGTACTGATTTAAAGTAGTACTCTGTTGTAAACCTCATACCTTACCTTAGAGTATAGTACGAAACTTACATCAGGAAATTTTTTTCTAAAGAGCCCTTAAGAGGGGAGGCGTATTTAAACAATACAAGTGGTTGATTGCTTAGCAAATGGTGGAACTGAGAGGCAGAAATGCCTCTGGTTTCCTTTATGAGCATTCACAAACATTTTAGGGATAATTTTGTCTCCCCAAACAGCCTTCTCTATCTTGACAGGCAGGGGAACGGTATATAATACTTTCCATATGGGAAGGGCACTGTTTTCTTTGTTTCCTTTGCTTGCTAAGAGAAAGCTAAAGAGGGTGTGGAAGTAAAGTAACTCTGGAAGTGGCAATCTAAGTCATTATATTATACTTTATAATGAAAGTTGCTTTATAGGAAGATCAGTGCTAGGTAAGGGGGGGTTTTTTTGCATAGGCGTGAATTGACAAGGAGGAAATTAGAGCCAGCTGAAAGGGTTGCAGGAAGAAGTTTTGTTTGGACAGTGGGAGGCAAGTCAGTAGTCTCAAAAAGATGAGTAGGGAGGCTTTGGGACTATGAGCGAGGTGGTGACATGCTGCCCTGAAGAATCCGGTTTGGCTACTGGAAGAAGTCTAAGTAACTGTGTTGTACTGACCTGCAACAAACATGGGACGTGAAGCCTCCAGAAGTCCAAAGCCTGCAGGCAGTAACTTGCCCGCTAGCTGAGCTGGAGTGACGATTGACAGGGAGAAGGCAGAAGCAGGAAACAAATACGGCTGTGCGGTATTATTGAGAAGCATAAAGAAAACACTCCGCTTCTGTTAGTCCTTGCTTCAAAGGGAGCCTGCCGTGAAAAATTTAAATAATCTTTTCCAAAACAAAGGACTCCAGTTCTTCCTTTACTCTCACGAGATCCCCAATGTCCCTCAAATTCACCATGAGCGTCAGTTCCCGTTTTTTATTTGGTGGTGTGTGCTCTTTGATCTCCAGGCTTGCAAAGGAACAAGAGAGTGATGGGGCTGATTTATCCTAAAACAGTAGCTGAGAAAAAGAGCTCTTTCAATACATAGGAGCAAACAGAGGCTGTAAAGAGAAAACTGTACTGCAACGGCACCTAGTTTTGTAGGTACTTAGCTTTTTAAACATTAGTTTGGGAGAGCCTAGTTATTTACAGTAGATACTGGTTATTTGGGCACCCTTAGTTTTCTCTGTCTCATTTTTATGCCCTGTTTATGCAACCTATTGACCGCACACGGGTGTCTCTTTTATTCTCGGTCTCTGAAAAACTATTGCTGGGTTTGGTCCCTTATTGCATCTAGCCAAACTCTATGAGAGACCAGTGGCTCCAGCAAGAGATTAAACTGGAGGAGTATTATTTTAACAATAAAGGGAGTAGACATATTGCCAGGTAAACATGGACGCATGAGAAACTAATTGGATTTACGTTAATTTTATTGAATATAAGTGCATAAAACTCTTCACCCCACCGCCAGCCCTGTGCATACAAATTACATATGGGCCTTTTGGATGATATCTTAGTCCTTGCTCTCTGTGGTGAGCTGTGTGTGATCCTTTCTGGCTTCAGTGAGGCTACAGATAGATGGCAGGTCTTTCCACTCTGATGTCAGCGCAGGTCTGGGATCTTTGGCTCTGAAGATTTATGGGATGATGCCTTGGGTATTGAGTTCTTCTCCTGTGCAGTCAGAAGCTGCAGTACGATAACCCCCGTAAGCTGTACCCCTCTAAGGAGGTTTGTTTTGAGGTTTGTCACTGAGTTTGAGAGCATCACCTCACGTGCTGCTTTTCTTTTCTTTCTTTCACTGTCCTGACAGTGGTGGATTGAGAACCTACACGGTCACTATCTTAAGCATAATGTTCCTTCTTGCTCACCTTCACCTCCCCTCTGGCTGCTAATTTCCCATCTGCAAGGCTGGGAGTGTGGGGCAGAAACCAGATAGATTATATATACCCTGTAAAGTCAGGAGGTGAAAGAGGCAGCTGCTTTAAGGACCTTGAATCCCTGGATGCAGTCAGAATTGCATTCATTTCTGAGCTGCATCTGTGCTTTTCCACCGGTGTTTGGTAAGAATCATCTATGTGTATCATATAAGAGAAGTCAGGCTAGGGTTAGACTCCAGTCGCTATTACGTTCTTGCAGGTATGCATGCAGAATTCCCCCGGACTTCTATGTGAGCCTGTCTTCAGCTTGTAAAATTAGATTGCCTGACAATCTGTAGTAGTGCTGTCACGAGAGACAAAAGACGGAAAGTTGAACCTTCAGTAGAAATCTGACAAGAGGCCAGGTACTGAAATCAAGCCTCATTATTACATTTCTTTCAAGACAGTCGTCATTTCCTTTATAATTTTCTGAATTACCATAATGAGGATTAATTTGGCTTCCAGGTTGCCTTACACTGCACTGTTGTGCATACAAAAGGCTTGTTGTAAAACCTTTTGAAGCGCCTAAGTTCAGGCAGAGGTCAGGAGACACAAGCTTATGTGCTGCTGGGGGAAAATGAAAAAAGGAAAAGGTTTTGAGGCACTCATGCAACTCTAAATGCTGCTCTTGGCTTGGCTTTGAAGTCTGCAGTGGCCTCTTCAGGGTATGGATGTCTCATTTGTGTGGGAAAATCTGAACAGTAAGAACTATGGAAGAAGGTCATACGGCTGTGCAGGTTGTGCTCTTCGTTTTTTGATGGTGGGAGCAGAGGGAGATGAATGCCTACAGCTGCCAGCGTAGTTTATTAAAGATAAACCTCTAGGTAGAAGCACCTAAAATCAGAGAAAGGTTTGGGGAAGGCGAAGAGCTTTGAACTGGCTTTGTACAAAGCTTTCCCAAGCTCACTTAAGGGTGGGAAAGAGGGTGCTTGAATGGGGCAGGAGAGATGTGGAGAATGTGGTTGCTGAGGAAAAGTGAAAATGTTGTGATGCTCAGGAAGAGCACAAGAAGGGGATGAGGGCAGGAGGAAAGGAACGCTCCTTGAATGCGGTAATTTCTGGTCATCTCTCTTGCAGACATCTGGAAGTGCAGTGTTTCGCACCTGATCCCAGCCCTTGTGCACCAGATAGCAGGAAGGGGTTCTGAAAGTTACGTCCCTAATATCTTCCTTGAGTTCTCAGCAGTGTGTTTCCCCTTAGCAGTTCTGTTTTGTCCATCTGCGATCACAGTATCGGTTATTCCCTGCTTCCTTTAGACTGCCACCCTTTGTGCCGTCAGTGTGTGGCCAACCTGCGGGACACCGGCAGCATCTGTCTGAAGTGCCAGAACGCCCGTCACTTGCTCCTGGGAGATCACTGCGTTCCTGACTGTCCGGTGGGATACTATGCGGAGAATGGTGCCTGCAAAAGTGAGTAGTCCTTACAGATGCCTCAAGTAGCTGCAAGGGACCGCCTGGATCCTTGCGAGATGCTCCATGAAATGGTTGCTATTTAGTAGAGAAGCTTTGTCCAAGCTGGCAGGACACTGCAGTGGGAGCTGGGGGTGTCCTGGCTAATAACTCTGCCAGCTGGCTGGGAGCACTCTCTCCTTGCTGTCCATAACCTGTGTCTGCTTTCAGACTGTGAGTTCTTTGAGGCAGACAGTACTATACTGTCCTGAGCACGTGCTGAGGTTAGTGGGACCTAACCCGCTGTTACAATACAATTAAACAGTGTAATGAGTACCAGGCAGCAGTATGCTTGTGAGGAGGAGGTGAAGGTGAGTTTTTCTCGTTCTGGTAAACCCCATCCCTCAAAGATGGTGGCACAGAGAATAGGATGACAGTACACTATGTTCTATGTAGGGTAGCTACCCTGAGATCACTCCTAGGAAGAGATGGGCTTCTTAAGCACAATAAAGGATAACTTCAAACAGAGACTTTTCATCTGCCCATCACCAAGTCTCCAGTTTGTGTGGTACCAGCACAGTTCTGGGATGCTGACACTTGAAAATATTTTCTGGATACGTGCTTCGAAGGGCCGTGCAACGTTTGCTCACAGAAGGCAGAACTCTTGCTGGTAGCAACTTCTCAGGACGTTTTGCAGCCTGAGATGGAACATCATCCTAGCTAAGGTCTCTCATTGAGACTTGTCTTGCTACAGTAATGGTCCAAAAGGCGATCATTCATAGCAGCTTCTGAAACAAAAAGCCAATTTCATTCAGCCTTTTAGGCTGGCATGATAGATGCAGCGCTCCAGCTGCGTGGGTGAAGCTGCACTGATAGCACATTTTATTCTCTAGCCTTCTGTGCCTTCACCTATCCCTGGATCTCCTCCAGTTTTTGTTGTTGATGTGGTTTCATATTCCGAACATTGTCTGAGCTGCTTTATATTTCTTGGACTCTTAGAAGGAAGTACGTTGCTTTTCTTGTTATGTGGCCGACAGAAGCATATTAAAGCTCAATGTGTCTTACGCTGAGCAAAGGGTATTGCAGTTTCTTTTAAGAGGAAGAAATCAAGACAAGAAATTCTGCACATTAGAATTAAGATGCAGATGCTCCCTTTGCAGGAAGTGGCATTTCCTAATCCAGTCTAACAACTGATGGTTAATGTTTCAAAGCTTCTCTCAAGCATTCTGGGAGCTGTGTTACCTGGGTTTGGCAAAGGAAATTTCAGAGACGTATGAAATATACTCTGTGTCATTTCATTGGAAAGACCCCTGAGAGAGATATTTTGCCTTCCTGGAAATTTAAGCCTAGGGATGACATTTCTTCCCTTTGGTATAAAGGTTTCATTTAAAAGAAGTTTTGCATTATTCAGACTGTGTCAAAGCTCATACTACATTTTGTGCTAGCTTTTAAGATCTCCAGCACAACGTAATGCAGTCGCTTCTCTGATTTCTTTGCTCACTTTCACTCATGATTAATTTGGCCTGATAGGTGTAATGATGGCATCAATCTTTAGGTAAAGGCCTATCAAGAAATAAAACAGACTAAGAATGTTGTGAGTATGTACCCCCTTTGGAGAAATTAATAGGATACATTGGCCTCATCCACTGTGGTGTTTTAAATCTCTTCAGTCAGACTAAGAAGCACAAGAAGTGGGGGACAAAGGGATGGAAAGGAAACAGGGAAAGAAAACGAGGGGTGGCATAAAAATATCTCTTTAAAAATGCAGGGAAAGAAAAAGATAGTAGTGTACTTCCTTACTGGAGGCAGTCAGTGGGATTGCTGGCTATGAAGAATCGCAGAAGGATCTTGTAAGACTGAGTGTCTGGGCAGTAAAGCAAGGGATGGAAGTTTGGTATAGGCAGATGTAATGATGCACACAGGGATACCCGGTTCTAACCTCACATACAGAATGACGGCATCCTTGCCGTGATCTTGAAGTAATGATCAATCAGCCTGTGAAAATGGCATCCCAGTGTTCAGCAGCGTTGAGAAAGCAAATGAAATGTTAGGTGCTAATACAAAAGGAAAGAGGAATAGAAGAATTCATTCTGCCGCTGTCTAAAGGAGCTGAGTGCTGTGAGCAGTTCTGCTCATCGCAAAAGGGAAGGGCGGCAGGACAATGTGGGGAATGAAGGGCTTCTGTACAGTGGGCAACTGAGTAGGCCACAGTTCTTCAACCTGAAAAACAGGAGACCTTAGGAGGGAGGAAATATGATGGAGGCCTACAGAGTCATGAGGGAAATGGAGAGAGGGCGCATAGAGATAGACTGTTCTCTGTCAGTGATGCTTCTTGGAATAGGTAGCAGCTGTGCAACTCCTGCCGAAGGGATGGATGTAAATCTTCAGGGAGGTGTGGAGCTATGAGAAAAGCACTAGATGGTTCCTAAATAGAGAAGGCGCATCAGGCTCGGGAGGATCTGACCTGAAACTAGTTGAGAGAAAGCATGAGAGGGAGGTACTGATACCTGCTTGCCCTTTTTTTTACTCTTTTCTGATAGACAGGTCTTGGCCAGATCCCGTAGGGTTGTTCTTAAAGGAGAAGGGAAGGTTGAAGAGAAGAGGGATGGATAAAAAGAGAGAGAAAGGAGAGGAGGGGAGAGAGCTAGTGTGCATGGCACACAGAGCACAAATAAAGCCATTTAATCCGTCTGTCACAAGGTGGGTTGGTTGTGTTTCTGCTCCTGAGCGCTGTGCACCAGTAAGGGCTTAGACTTAGTAGGAACTTTTGGTACTCGATATCACCATGCTCAGCCTCTGAGAGTGCTTCTGCTGAAGCTTGTGATACTTGCTCGAAGAACTGCTTTTCCTTGAACAGAAACACTTGTTCTTGATGTCTCTACAGGGTGTCACCCCTCATGTAAAACCTGCACCGGCGGGGGTCCTTCTTCCTGCTCTTCCTGCAACACCAGCCTGGTTCTCTCCCACACCAGCACGTGTGTGCCAGTCTGTTCCCCGGGATACTACAGGGACGACAGGCAGACCTGCAGGCGTGAGTGTCTCTCTCCAAGCCATCTCTCCTTTCCACAGTGTATTCACCGACATGTCTTTTCTTGTTCCTTCACTTATTGTTCCTCTTGTCAGGAAAAGAAAGATTTCAAGTGCCTAAAAATTCGATGTGAGTTGACAGAGGTAATTAGCTGCCTTAGAAACAGAGCCTACAGCATGGTTTAAATTTGAACACAGTTGCAGATTTGTTATCGACTTCAAAGACAGAAGACTGGGTCCCGTAGTAAAAAAACTGCAGGACAATTTGTGTAGGCTTCCTTGTTAAGTTGTCTAGGTGGTATGTAGAGGAGTGGCCAAAAGTACTGGTGGATTCTGGGCTTTGTGAAAACTTGACAAGCTTAGACCGGTTTTAATCAATTCTTACTAAGGCAAACCCCCTCCCCACTGCACTTTCTGCCAGTACCTGCCATGGAAGCTGTATTAAGACTGTAGCATTTATGCCACATTTTTCACATGTGAAACCTCAGTAGAAACAAGGTACAGCTTTGTAGGCACAGCCCCGACTGACTTGAGCTGTGATATTTTTACCTCCTAATGATCCGATGCAATTGATCTGGTGTTAAGTCCAGTAACATTTTATCCTGCTCCTGCTATCCCTTATGAATCTCTCAGGGCCTTTCTTTTCCTTTATTATTCTATGCTCGCTCTGGCCCTGACATCAGTTGGGTTATTCTTCACATAATTGTTTGGCTTGATGTTCCAAAATGCCAAATTATATGGCCCAGAGACATAAAAAATATGAAAAAACCCTGCTTGAATTGACCCACTATAATACGCACACCTAAAAATGAGTGAGCGCTTAAGTGGTTTGGTTGCTGTGAACCTGAACACTCAGATTTGTTAAGTCCTGTGTTACCCTGATTTAAATTATCCTGATTTATGATAAAATAACTCTGTTGCACTGCACTGAGTATAGGTATCAGTGTCATACTATGTAGACCCAATTTCTTTACTGATGAGGTCCTATAGGAGTAAGCTGATATGGTTGTCAGCTTTACCTGCCTTTTGTTGAAATATATGGTTCTCCTGAAACTATTATTTCCATCTTATCAGCGGAAATGAAGATACCTTGCATAAGTTCAAGGGAATAGGTGGAAGACTTTGTACCATTCTGCTGTTGACAGAAAAATTGGTTGTTCAATAATAATGAAGAAAGAAATGTAATAAAAAAGATGAATAAAAAAAGGAATTGTGGGATTCTCCCTGTCTTGGCTAGTTTCCTGCAAGCTCTACAAGATATTCACTGTTCTCTCCTGCACTATGGATTCTCTTCTTGCTAACTACACCAGAATACCTCCCTTCCTAATTAAAATGCCCTTTTCTAATGAAAACTTTCCTATTGATAGCTCCTCCCTCAGGACATCGTGGTAGAAATGGAATGTTCCTGAGGACTGTACCCTTCCTGAATTTGGTTCAGCAGCTCAAATGCAAATAGATTTTTGCAAGCAAATTCAACTACTCTAATCTCTTTATTGCAAATGGCTTTTAAAGAAGTGTATGTAATCCTTGTAGCAGGAGGCTCAAGGCAAAGTGTGTCCATACGTTGGAATTTTTGTCATTCCAAGTGTCACTTGTGCCTTTTCAAGTGAAGTACTGCTGATAAGCCATGTAGATATAAACTGTCCCAGGCTGCTGGAAAACTACCACTTAGAGGTAATGAAAATGGTTTAAGCGGAGGTTCGCTGTTAGGCTGAGAAAATTTGGTCTCTCTTAAATGTTTATTTTAGTCGCTTTGTGCTTTTGAGGAACTCGGGTTTGGAATAAAGTTCAGAGAGATGCTGAGTGCATGTATGGACTCTGAGAGATATTTTTATACTCGGTGACATACTGGCCGAGGAACAGTGCAAAGCTTAACAAGTTCTTCATGGGTTTAAAAATGCAGATATGGAGTCATGCTGATAAGCAGACAGAATTGCTTTCAAATACAGTTTTCGCTTACTGTTCTGGCATGCCTCCGTGGGTAGCCTGATTTCTATAGATTTACACCTCATGTGGAATGTTTTACCATACTTTTAATAGTTGGCTTTTTGTAGCACTTACAAATAGTAATTTTTCCATGTAGTATTCATAAGTTAAGTGAAATCAGAGTGGCACCAGAGCACCTAAAGACAGCTACTAGATTCTTTAGGTAATTCATTTGTACCTCAATAAAATGCAGACCTGCTGTGACATTTTTTAATGAGCTGAAACAAGTTTTAGCTTGTTTGAAGGGCACTGGGTTCCCGCTTCAGTGAGAGCAACATAGGTATTTTCACATTTACTTTGGTATTTTGAGGTTTTGTCATTATAAAACTCTGTCTTGAATTAAAAGCAAATTGAAGTGGATTTCCACAATTAGCATATCACTAAATTAGCATTCCACAATTAGCATATCACCAACACAATACCGCAAGTAACATGTCGGTGTTTAGCACCTGAACTGTAGTCGCGCTAAATAGCATTCCACAATTAGCATATCACCAACACGATACCGCAAGTAACACCTGAACTGTAGTCGCGCTAAACCCTATGAGATGTTTTGTTTGTTTTTTCCATTAAAAATGGCCAGCTATGCTTTATTCTTTAGTTTAAACACTTGGGGCTGTGTTTTCACAGCTTTTTTCTCATTTATCATAAGTACAGAATTGAGCTTGGGCAAAGATTCTGACTCCATATGGATTTAGCGACGCTCAGGGGTAGCTGGCTGGGAATTTAGCAGTCCCTTTTGCATTCGCCATCATTGTACTGGCCAGCAGGGCAGTTACGGTTGTTTGTGTAAAGCAGACATGCGAACCTCCATGAGTTTTCTGCATATTATTTTTGTAAAGTTTCGTCTCACCAGAGTCAGAGCGAGGTTTTCAGTGCATAGGCAAAGCGCTAGGAAATATTCTTTGTCTTTCATAGCACATTGCTATTAACTCTTCTGCTGTGAGTTAGCTAAGAGCTCTGACATCAGCACTGAGTACACTTGGCTGTTAGTACAGCCTCCTGAGAAGGTTAGACCTGGACATCAAAGAGGTGAGTTGAAATATTCTGAACCCCCTGGACTTTGATCCTTTGATTCAGTAAATCCCTGAATTATTTTTTCCTGGCATCTTTATTTGCTCCCTATAGCTCCAAAGTTTCACACTGCAAATAAAAAGGTGGAAACATTAAGTGAAATTAAATGGGCCATTGGTCCCACCGAGGTTTGCTAGCTGGATTGCAGCAGTCTATTATGGTCTCCTAATTTGTGCATTACGAGTTAAGTCTGGAATCGTATGAAACGCAGCTTGTTTAAAGAGAATAAGAAAAACAGAGATGGGGAAAGCTCTTATTTGCGGATTTGAATTCAAGGTCAGTGTTTTACCCTGACCTGTCCAGAGGAGAGTAAGAAAGTGTGAGGAGATGTAACGGGCTATTCCAAATGGAAGGAGGCTTTTTACATTTTGGAGGCTGTGAAAAGGAACGTAAGAAGCAAAAACCACTGAATTCTCCACAGGTGTCTCTCAAAGAGGACAAGAGGAGTAGCGAGGCTACAAGATAATACCATTTTTATTTGTACAGTTTGCTGGTGCATCAGTAATTACAGTTACTTTCTTTGTCTTTCCACAGCTTGCAACAGCCAGTGCCTGAGCTGTGAATCAGCCACTGGCTGCACGTCATGCAGAGATCCAGCTAAGGTCCTGTTATTTGGAGAATGCCAGTATGAGAGCTGTGCTCAGCAGTATTATCTGGATTTTTCCAGCAAGACTTGCAGAGGTGAAAAATACATTGCTAGTTTAAAGAAAAAAGAAAAAAAAATTTGCAAGTGCCTTGGCTAAGAATCCGTTACGTTGCAGCAGGATCTGTGCAGGTGGCCTGCTTTAAAAAGTGTGTGTGAGGGGGGGATTTGTTCAGTGACAGACCACTTTTACAGTTTTTTCTCTTTTTCGGCAGTGTGCTGTCACATACTTCAGCCTTTCAGTGAAACAAGATTATTGCAAATCCTTCTCTCGTAAATGATTTAGTAAGTGAGCCAGCAAACTTTTCAAGGGTCAGGTCCAGCAATTCATTTAGTCATGGGTCAGCTGAATAATGAGTGAGCTTACTAGGCTAAATCTTTTTTAGAGTGCTTATAGGGCCTTGTGTACTTACCTGCTTCTCTCTTTCTTATTAAATACTGCATCACTGGATGACTGCAGAAACAACAGTTTTAAGTGATTTAAAAGACACAGGACTTGAAAGATTTCCAGAACTCCCAAGGAGAGTGTTCCATAATGGAAATAAGCGAGGATAAGATGGCTTTATTGCAGCTAACACCACTAAGACCAGGATATAATACAGATGACTTGTTGTTAGGTGTTCATTTCTAGCTGGCTCTCTCAGTACCTGAACCTAGCTTAACCGAGTAGCATCTGTCCCCTTAACGTTGCCGTTCTTCAGGGAGGTGACATTGTCTGGTGTTTAGGGTGTTGGAATGAGGCAGGACTCTTGTCCTGGCTTTGTCTTGGATATGCTGCATGGACTGGCGTAGTTCGGCTCACCTCAGTGAGTCCTTTTTTCCCCCCTCTTGCTCTTGCCCATTTGTCTGTCTCATCAGCCAAGTGTGTCCGTCATTAATTGCTGATACGGACCCTCTTAAGTGCCACCAAGAAACAAACAGTAGTGTTGGCAGCCTGAGTAGTCCTTGGGCACATGTGCATGGTTGGGATTCTGCTGAAGACTGGAGGGGAGATAGTACGAGGGCATGTGAAGGCAGGTCTGGTCCCAGCTGGATCCAGTGTGTTTCTAGCCAGTGAACTTTCCAGAGGGGCATTTGGACTGTGAGGGACAACGATTTGGGCCCCTCACTACAAGAAGGACGTTGAGGTGTTAGAGCGTGTCCAGAGAAGGGCAACGAGGCTGGTGAGGGGTCTGGAGAACAAGTCTTATGAGGAGCGGCTGAGGGAACTGGGGTTGTTTAGCCTGCAGAAAAGGAGGCTGAGGGGAGACCTCATCGCTCTCTACAACTCCCTGAAAGGAGGTTGTAGCGAGGTGGGTGTTGGTCTCTTCTCCCAAGTAACAAGCGATAGGACGAGAGGAAATGGCCTCAAGTTGTGCCAGGGGAGGTTTAGATTGGACGTGAGGAAAAATTTCTTTACTGAAAGAGTGGTTAAACATTGGACTAGGCTGCCCAGGGAAGTGGTGGAGTCCCCATCCCTGGAGGTATTTAAAAGACGTGTAGACGTGGTG